TGTAGATGTCTCAGAGTTATTGCCGGCTCTAGACAGGGACTCATTAACCTAGGAAAACAACTTAAAGAAGGGTGGTGGTGCAGACCTGTAGTTCCACCACTAAACAGGTAAAACAGGAGAATCAGGAGCTCAACGTTACCATTAGCTACATAGTGAGTTCAAAGCCTCCTGAGATACATGAGACCCTATCTGAAAAAAATAGAAGCAATCCACCCAGTAGAGTTATGGGTACTACATAAGCACACAATTTACAATATTTTAATACTTTATAGTACGTAGCTATATAATTTGCTGAGTTTGACTATCTCTTTAAAAACTGAGATATGGTTCACATACCGTAATCATCACCATTTTAAAGTATGCAGCCTAATGGTTTCAAATATAGTTAAAAAAAAAAAGACAAACAAACTTGTGTAGCCATCCCGTTATCTAGCTCCAGACCACTGTTAAAATCTCAGAAAGTCCATACATATTCGTAGTCACACCCACTCCCTCCCTCCTCTAGGCCTTGATTGCTATTATGTTTTCTATTGCTATGCGTTTCCCTATTCTAGGTATTTCATATAAAGGGAATCACACAATATACTACATTTCTGTATTGGCTTCTTTTATTTGGAAGTATATTTTAAAGTAGTATCCATATTGCAGTATCCATCAATATTCCATTTGTTTTTGTAGCCAAATAAAATTCTGTATTATGAATAAACCATGTTTTGATCATTCATGGTGACTCTGAATATTGCTGCTGTGAACTTTGGTGTGTATGAGCTTTTGAATGAACACGTTTTTTTATTTTATTCAGTACATACCTAGGAGTGGAATTGCTTGATCAGATTTACATTTAACTCCAGAGGAAATGCCAAACTATTTCCCAAAGCAGCTGCACCATTTTACATTCGTGCCAACAATATATATGAGCGTTTCAATTTCTTCACATCCTGGCAGACACTCGCTGCTTTCCCTTTTGTTTGTTTGCTTTGTATTATTACAGCTATTCTAGTGTGTTTGTTTGTTTTGCATTTCCCTAATGGCTAATGATGTTGGGTATCTTTTCATGTGTTTTCTGCCTATTTGTTTATCTTCTTTGGAAGATCCTTTGCCTTTTCATTCTGCTGGTGGTGGTGTTTATAGCCCTAAAGTATTAAATTTGGATGAAGTAGCATTTATTTGTACTGGTTGTTTGTGCTTTTGCTGTGATCTAAAAAATCATGTTGTTTAATCTAAGTCATCTCAGATTTACAGGAATCTTTTCTTCAAAGGCATTTATTTACTCTTTTGATTCTTATACTTAGATGATAGATTCATCTTCATTTATTCATCTTGTAGACTGAGGTTTTTTTGTAGCCCAAGATCTCAACTATGTAGTCCCGAGTGGCCTTGAACTCACTATGATCCTCTCCTCTCACCTCCCAAGGGCTGGGGTTACAGGCACATACCACCATGCCTAGTTTGAATTATTGTTGTATGTTGTAAAGTAGGTTTCTAACTTCATTTCTTGTGCATGTGGAGATGAAGTTATCCCAGAACTATTTGTTGGGATTTTTCTTTCTTTGCTGAATTACCCTGGAACCTTTGTCGATTGGCTGTAAATATACAGGCTTATTTCTAGAGGTTTTTATTTTCCTAAGTTTGAACATTTGCTGTGTGATTTGCAAGCAAGTATGACCTTGGGCAAATTGCTTTTTTGTAATGCTAGTACTTATTTTTTAAGAAAACTGTGAAAAAGGTAATAGGTATGGTAATGCTTAGATAATAATGGGGATGGGGAAAATGGAGGATAGTTGCAGAAATGCCGAAACAGGAATAATAATCAGAAGCCTTAATAAATGAGAAATGAGCAAAGAGATGTTTGAGGAACTTGCAAAAATTATTCAATCCCTCAAATTGGCAAAGGGTGTTACTGTGTCTTAATAAAGTGAAGGAGAATGGTGTCCCGGGCATGGTAGTGCATGCCCACCATCCCATCACTTGGGAGGCAGAAGCAGGAAGGTCACATGTTAGAGGTCAGCTTCAGTCTAACGTCAGTGGTCTTCTGTAACCACCCTAACTGGTTGCAATTCTGTAAAAATAATACAAGATATTTAAGGTATAGCTTATTTAGTTATTTTCTGTACTTTGTCTATCCTTTCTGATGTATTTGTTCGTTCGTTTTCAATGTCAGACTTTACTGTTAAGGACACCTCAGAGAGTCCGTTGAAAGCTATGAACAATCCTCTTCAGGTAATAAATGCATACAACAGTCACATGCTCTGCAGACATTTTAGAGCAGGCCCAGAATCCCCTAGTTAAATCTCCTAATTTGATCTTATATAAGGCAATTGTGTCCCAGAATGTGCTTCCCCAAGCTTTATTTCATAGTGAGCTTCAAGAGTTGTATTGATTTTGGAACACATTTTAGGGTTTCATATGAGATTGAAGAGGCAGTTCTCCATACAGAAGCGTTTATACAGCACCCTCTTAAGGCAAGGAACTGTGGCACTTTAACTGATTTTATATAGGTGTCAACATGTGGAAGTGACTTTCAGTATTGCTTCTGACCAACCAAAATAGTTTTTCAACACAGCTATTAGGGACTGCCTGAAGTCCTGGAAGGGGCTGGGATAGAAGTGTAGTGTCAGATGGAGATAGTCCTCGAGGAAGGAGTCAGAGAGGCAGGCAGGTTCAGAGGGACACAGAGAGACAAAAATAGAAGCGGAAGCAGGCCATTTAGAAACCCTCTTAAATAGTTAAGATAACGTCAGCGAAGAAGGTGAGATGATTAGAGTAAAGGTGTGGGGGGAAAAAGCACAGACCTTGGCATGAGACTGGCTTCTGCTTTTGCTTTGTGTTTCTGGTTGACTTACTAGTGACTATGAGCCTCGTTTTCCTAAGTGTGTGATGGGTCTAGTAATAATACTATATCCACATTCCTGAAAGAAGAATGTACACAAAGTACTTAACACAGCGCTCAGAATGCAGTCAAATAATCAATAAATATTATGTACCTTCTTACTTTTAGTTTGAGTCATGCTTTATTGGCCATTATTGAATACCTATTGTCTGCCAGTCACCATGCTAGGAATAAAAATAAAAAATTGTCGATGCTCTCCAGAAGAGGAAGGAGTTAGTTGGAAATATAGGTATGCTAAGGAAAATGTTCTAGAGAAATAATAAACGCGTTCTGGGCTTGGATGGTACCATTCATCATTTGGGGAAATCTGAAAGAGGAAATGGTTGTGTGTATGTGTGTTTTTTTTTGTTTTATATTTTGGTTTTGGTTTTTTTTTTTTTGCATGAATGGTCAGAGAGTATAAGTCCATTTGTGGCCATGTTCAATCTGAGCATCTGAGGGGCATCAGGTGAAATTATCTAAGGAAATAGTCTTACTTTTGTGTGGAAGTTGTGATCTTTATTCTCTAAAAGCATCCAATTGTAACATTTCTATACAAACATGTGTGAATATATTTATAAGAACATGAAAATGATAAAATGAAAATATCACATGTCCCCCTTTAAAAATGTAACTAAACAAACCTTTGAACCTACTAAACTAACTGGGAGTGTCTGCCTTATAAAGAAAACCCTTCCCATTTACAGCACAGTTTACTGTAGGAGGTTCCATTAAATAGCTGGTTAGTCCGGTGCATTGAACAGGATTGATTTAGAAATATCTTTTGTGTATACATTTATTGTACTTAAGTGCTAGATATAATCACCCAGAACTTGTGATTCCTGTCAGAAGATGACTTGCATATCACTAATCAATGACAATATTTGAACAAACACCAGTGCAAGAATCAAATTTAGGGGTCCTGATGGAGATTCCAACACTAGGGAGATGAATAAGACTACTCAAAATCAAAAGATGCCCTTCTCTCTCTTATTAAGAGAATCCACAGTTTCAGTCAGTGAAACATGTTTATATTTGTCCTTAGTGGAAGCTAACAGAATGCTGAGGACACATAACAATCCCTATATGTCCAACTCTGAAATGTCTCTGGGCAAATGCATAAAGTGACAAGCTGGTTGGTTCTGTCAGCTGCGAGATTTCTTGTACTCTCTGGTCCACACTAAAATGAAGGCTACCACATCTGAAGGTTTCTGGCTATTCAACTTGCCAATTTCCATCTAGGTCTTGATTCACATCTAATCATGTGTTAGTAAGCAGGAAAACACGCATGGGGGATGAGATTTGAACAGGCAGGTGCTAGTTGAGAAAGTGTTTAACATCAAATCCAAACTGAAGCCATCATCGTTAGCAGTTGGGTACTAATTCTTCACTACTCAACTTGAGGAAATGTAAGAGTTTTTGAAAGGGAAAGGGAAAACTATTATCTTTTGTCTCTAATGACTCAGTTTACTAGAAATAGGATGAAACAAATTTCCATGTGTGGTAATATGAAGTAATTCAAGTTCACACTCGGAAGAAAAACGTATTATCCTGCACTGAAAACTGCATTTTCCCCAAAGCCGTCTTCTTCTTCTTCTTTTTTTTTTTCATGCGTATGCTTAGAATAAAATCATTTCAGAAAGGCAATAGCTAGTTTGAAATATAGCCTTGTTTTCCTTCCACTGGATGTAAGCTAGGAGCAGCCCTTATATCTTGCCTTGACATGAAATAGAGAACAATATTGGAGAATAGGGACTGAAAAATTTGTAGGGCCTCCAACCCATCACAGTCTCGGTGAAGAGATGTCAGTGGAGAATTTAGAAGAGAGTGATCCATGCCAATTGTGTGAGCTGAGATGGTAATGTTAATCAGGAAACCAAGACACAGAGGTGGCCACTTGCTTCTATTTTTTAGTGAAGGGGAAAAAAATCTCCGGCAAGTGTCTAAAACAAGGTTTGAAGGAGAATGGGGTGTAGAAAGGCTTCCTGATTAATTTCCCGGTAACTCCTATTGCTTAAGCCTCCCTGGGGAGCCTATCAGGCCAAAAGTCTCCATTGGTTACAATATAATTATTCTACAACCACTTTTCCTTTGGAAATGCTTAATGACTCTTACTTTGTATTACTCGCAGGTGAAAGCCCAGCCTCTGCGGTTCTTAATGCCTCAGCAGGATTATTTTCACTAAAGATGGAAACACTGGAGTCTGAATTGACCTGTCCAATCTGCCTCGAGTTGTTTGAAGACCCCCTTCTGCTCCCCTGTGCTCATAGCCTGTGTTTCAGCTGTGCCCATCGCATCTTGGTCTCCAGCTGCAGCTCCGGTGAATCCATCGAACCCATTACTGCATTTCAGTGTCCTACATGCAGGTATGTTATCTCGCTGAATCACCGGGGCCTGGATGGCCTCAAGAGGAATGTGACCCTGCAGAACATTATCGATCGCTTCCAGAAGGCTTCAGTCAGTGGGCCCAATTCTCCAAGTGAGAGCCGTCGGGAGAGGACTTACAGGCCAAGCTCCGCCATGTCTAGTGAGCGAATTGCTTGCCAATTCTGTGAGCAGGACCCTCCGAGAGATGCTGTGAAGACATGCATCACCTGTGAGGTCTCCTACTGTGACCGCTGCCTTCGGGCCACACACCCCAACAAGAAACCCTTCACCAGCCATCGCCTGGTGGAACCAGTTTCAGACACACATCTTCGAGGGATTACCTGTCTGGACCATGAGAATGAGAAAGTGAACATGTACTGTGTATCTGATGACCAATTGATCTGTGCCTTATGCAAACTGGTGGGTCGTCACCGAGACCATCAGGTCGCTTCTCTAAATGATCGGTTTGAGAAACTAAAGGTAAGCAGTATGCATTTTTTTTATTTACTACGTAGTTGTATAGTTAGGAAGTTCTCCAATAACCTAGGTCACTTTTTCTATAGGATAAGTACGTCACCTTCAAGATGTTTTCATGGGGAATAACCTACTTCCTGCAAGTTTTCACTGGAACCTATCTTTTGCACAAGCCTGCTTCTGTGCAATTCTGGGAGAGTAAGCCCATTGCCCACTTGATTAGGGTAACAGCAGTCTCTCTCCTCTGGGACACATTGCACATTACTTATCTTTGCTATGATCTTTCCCTCTCTTCTTTTCAGTATGCGAGTACCTGTGTAGGTGTTCTGCAATTAGCATGTGTGCTAATTTGCATACGTTTGGGTGGGTCTCTGTGGAGGTGTGGGTGGAAGTGTCTGAGTGTATCTATGTAGATAAGAGATTGGTGGAGAACATTAGTACACGTGTTTGCAAGGGCTGAGGATGTGGCTTGGTAAAGTGCTTGCCAAGCAAGCGCCAAGTCCCTGAGTTCTATTTCCAGCTCTGTAAAAACAACAACAAAAATGCCTAGTCAGTACAGCAAAGGAAACAATGCTTGGCATTACGAAATGGCATTGATCAGTTAACACAGAACTAATTCTTATATATACCAATGTATCACCAAGTCAGGAGGTGTGACCAAATGCCTGAACTAAAAATGTAAACTGAAAAGCAATGACTGTCAACCTAGTGTTCCATTTTGTGCCCGCATTTGGTATTTTCGGCCCAGGCTAAAACAGTCGTTTGCAGTCTCCATCTTATAAGTTTCCAGTCTTTGATGTGTGTCCAGCGGGCAGTTTTGTGAAGTTATGTTAAATGATATCTGTTCGCAAATCTGAGTACCTAGTTTTAAAAGTCTTCTTCCCTCACTTTCACGTTCACCTATGTCATATCTCGCAAACTGTTCTATTCCTATTGTCTTCCTGATATGTGGTGTCATTTTTCTCAAGAAGGAAGCCACTTACCATAGATTCAGACAAAACAGAATGTCTAGAGCTGGCTTTGGCAACGTATATACTAAAGTTGGAGTGAAAAGAGAAGATTGATTAACATGGTCCCGGTGAAAGGATAAGGTGAAGCTGTCCATATTTTTCTATGATTGGAATATATTGTATAAAAATTACTTTTAATTAAAAACATTTAGATTTGGTAATGTCTGAGGACTTCCACAGGACTAATACCTGTAGTGTACACTACATGGCTGTCTTATTAAAATTAAATGTATAATTCTCCACATTGCTATAACAATTGTTATTTCCTTCAATGACTATTATATTATCACACACTTAATTATAATGTGTTCAGTTTAAAATAAAATGAAATCTAACAAAAATCAAATGTTTAAATGAACAGTAAGATTGGCACCCTGAAATAGAGCCTACACACATACACAAGCTAGAAGAAAGGCCCTGGCTATATGTAAGGAGAGCAGGAAGGCAATGGCAGTTCTGACATAATCTGGTCAGCTATTATTCAAATTTATATTAAAATAGGTGTCGGTAATAAGGGCAACAGCACTCAGAATAGGGTATATTTTTATCTGTAATTTATTGCAACACAGCATTTAGAGTGTTGGTTTGTGCCTCTTTTCATAACTATTTGTTTCCAATACACAACCTCTTCTCAGCTTTTTGGTTAAGAGCAAGTGGTCTCAGTTTGGTATGCCAGACTTTCTTGAGTTCCCAGGGAAAGTCTTATCCCCTCTGAGGAGCAAACAGAGGGTGGGAAGGTGGAAGGGAAAAGGGGAAAAGGGGGAGGGGTGAAAGAAGGGGGGACTGGGGTGGTATGTAAAATGAAAAATAAATTTTTAAGATAAGAAAGAGCAAGTACATACCTAATGTATATAAAAGTCAATGGCAATCTTTTGATTTTAGCTGGTGATCCTTTCATCCTTGTGGGGCTGCTGAGGGGAAGGTTATTGGCTTCAGCTCTTGGAGTCAACAAACTGTTAGGTTATGTGCCTAGTCTAGTCGAAGCCTTCCTCTTTGAAGTTTCATAAACTGAGACTCTGTTACACAAAGTGATTTGCTTAGCAGACCTGTTTAGTAATTGGGCTGGAACTGAAAACCAGTCTCCAGGCAGAGTCAACTGTCCCCCCCCCCCCACACACACAGTTGCCTGCCTATTACACTGTTGTTTCCCCTCTGAAATCTGACTTCAACTTAACTCTATGCTCCAACAGCTACGCATTCCCTAGGCCCCGATACATGATTAACAGCATCAGGAAAAGCACACAATTACATAATGTTCAGCTTCACAATGGCAAAAGATGGGGATGGGTTGTAAGAAGAGTGAGGGATATGGAGAAGATGGAGCAATCACTGCCAAATATTTTCAGGTGTTAGAATCATAATCAGGCATCGGCCTTAAAAACTATTCCAGGCAGAAATACCGGCATCCATATGTACTGCTGAGATAACAAAGAGACTGGGAAGAGGAAGCCTGGATCTCCAGAACACTGGCTACTTGAAAATAGCTGAAAACATGGGGTGATTGATCAGGCATTTGGCAACATGCAGCACAAGTCCCTGTATCCAGGGCTGGGGAAACACAAGTGTATTTATAAAAAGATGCCGTAGCCTGTGACTAATCAGTAATTTTTGGAGAAAGAGTGGCTATATTTTTTGACAGTTTCCCTTTAATTTTTAGGAAATGTGCAGAAAAGTCTGTTTATAAATTAAATGGAAACTATTTTTGCTCATTTTTGGATAGAGACTGGAAACAACTGAATCATTCCCAACTGTGTGGTTTGTTATGTTGTCTGGAACATCTAGGACTTTGGAAAGAAGGAGGTGCTGTGCATGTGAGTGTGCATGTGTTTGTTTGTGTATGTGTGAGGAGGGGTATAAGAGAGGGGCTGAGGGAGGAAGGGAAGGTCAGGGAGAGACAGAGAGAGGGAGGGAGAGTTGGGGGGAGGGGGACTTGGAGAATTTACCCAATCCAGTGCCAAGTGGGAAAGGATATTAGTTCTTCACATTAAACAGAGAAGAAGCCTGACCTTTTTCCTTTTTTAAATTATTTTTATTGGGCTGTATATTTCCCCACTCCTCTCCCTTCTACTCCCCTCCCCTTCCACCCTCTCCCATGGTCCCCATGCTCCCAATTTACTCAGGAGATCTTGCCTTTTTCTACTTCCCATGTAGATTAAATCCATTTATGTCTCTCTTAGGGTCCTCATTGTTGTCTAGGTTCTCTGGGATTGTGAATTGTAGGCTGATTTTCTTTGCTTTATGTCTAAAAGCCACTTATGAGTGAGTACACATGATATTTGTCTTTCTGAGTCTGGGTTACCTCACTCAATATGATGTTTTCTAGATCCATCCATTTGCCTGCAAATTTCAAGATGTCGTTATTTTTTTCTGCTGTGTAGTACTCTATTGTGTAAATGTACCACATTTTCCTTAGCCATTCTTCGGTCAAGGGGCATTTAGGTTGTTTCCAGGTTCTGGGATATGTCAAACAGTGCTGCTATGAACATAGTTGAGCACATGTCCTTGTGGTACGATTGAGCATCCTTTGGGTATATACTCAAAAGTGGTATTACTGGGTCTTGAGGTAGGTTGTTTCCTACTTTTCTGAGAAATCGCCATACTGATATACAAAGGGGCTGTACCAGCTTACACTCCCACCATCAATGCAGGAGTGTTCCCTTTACCCCACAACCTCTCCAGCATAAGTTGTCATCAGTGTTTTTTATCTTGGCAATTCTTACAGGTGTAAGATGGAATCTCAGAGTTGTTTTGATTTGCATTTCTCTGATGACTAAGGATGTTGAGCATTTCCTTAAATATCTTTCAGCCATTTTAGATTCCCCTGTTGAGAGTTCTATGTTTAGGTGTGTGCCTCATTTTTTATTGAATTATTTGTTCTTTTGATGACCAATTTCTTGAGTTCTTTGTATATTTTGGAGATAAGCCCTCTGTCCAATGTGGAGTTGGTGAAGATCTGCTGTTTTGTCTTGTTGCTTTACAGAAGTTTCTCAGTTTCAGGAGGTCCCATTTATTGTTTCTCTCACTGTCTCTGCTGCTGGGGTTCTATTTAGGAAGTGGTCTCCTGTGCCAATGCATTCAAGTGTACTTCCCATTTTCTCTTCTATGAGGTTCAGTGCTCCTGGTTTTATGTTGAGGTCTTTGATCCATTTGGACTTGAGTTTTGTGCATGGCGATAGATATGGATCTATTTTCATTCTTCATGTTGTTATCCAGTTATGTTAGCACCATTTGTTGAATATGAGAAGCCTGACTTTTAATGCCATAAGCAATACTTTGTGGTTAATTAAAAAATTAGAAATCATTTATGATTATTCACTTGATTTCTTCCTAAGGAGAATGGAGAAAGCCAGGCAGCTGGCAGAGGCTATGTGGGAAATGGGTTAAGCATATTCCTCTGGTCTGAGACTGTCATAAAAGGGCAAGGATGATAGTATATACCCCCATACACACACACACACACACACACACACACCTGACTTATGGTCAATAACTGATGCAATGTTTATTTTTACTTTTTGACTTGGGGGCTTCACTTTTGGCCTTTTATAACTACTTTTTCTGTATAGCCTCCTTGACTATGGTTAGTGACCTGTAATGTTCAAGAAAACGCAGGCAAACCATAACAGTATAGAAGAAAGGAGAAGAAAGGTCAGAGGAACTAGAAGCGAGCTTGATTTTTGAACATGTCCTCAAAATGAAGTTGAGGACTTGGAGGGGTACTTATATAATGGTTTATGTTCTTATTTGTTTAGTCTGCATGTAGGGTTGTGGTTCAGGACACATGATCTTTAGAAGACTTCCAGTGGCTTAATTAATTTAAACAATACTCATGATCCTGACAGTTACATGTACCTTAGTTCATGATACAGGCCATCATTTTATAAAATTGCTTCACAATTCAGAATTTCCATTTATAACAGTTCCTCCCCTTATTAAAGACTAATATTATTATATTATCTAATGTTGGCTTTATATATAGAAGCCAATTTCAGTGGC